AAATTCGCAATAAAGTTGAAAAATGGTACAGAATAAACATACATTTTGTCCTTAATGAAAAATATCGTAAAAATATTCAACCGAGGTTATGCAAAAAACTGCTCATCAAAAGTTTAATATATTGGTAATATTCGTATAAATGTTTTTGGGTATTTTCAAATAAAATGGTGAGAAACAAACTCATTAAATGCTTGTTATTCACAAAGACTTGTTAGTATAAATTTATAGTAATAGCTGGAAATGCAAATATTTAGAATATTGAAGATGTTCCAGTATAGAGCGAAAGTAAGAACATTAAGTACCGTAAAAGAAAATATCGCCATTGATTTAGGCTAAGGTAGACAAGCGGATTTAGGTGAATCTTACGATGAAGTGTCGTCTCTAGGTTAGTTAATCGTACACCCAGACACTTTGATACATACGATATTGGAGTGCAAAAGAAACGAGCGGAATGGAAAGAAAGACATGTGTGAATTGTGTGACAGTGAGAGAAATTATTAATAATAGAATGATTGAAAAGAAAGCACGTTGGACTAGTGTGCACAACTACATCTGTGCAGTAATCAAGAAAAAATAATATGAAAAGAGCTGGAGCAGCGACAAGAGGGTTGCAGGGGACCAAAGGTAAGAGGGGAAGATATCGTAAGTTGAAGGTATAGGCAACACGTTTTGATAAGAGGCGAAGAAGTGAGTCAGACTATGTATGCCAAACTGTGGCGAAGGACGAAATGCCCGGCTGGAAGTGATACCATTCTAGGAGCGATGAGCCCAATTTTTTGGAACCAATATAATGGAAAACAGGGAAAAGTGACGCCTCCTTGCTGACAGTCTGTGAATAAATGAAGGTACTGCTCCGGAAGTGTTGCTCGGCCTTACAGCAGCCATTTCGCTTCCGGGGCGCTGGATGAGAGAGGTGGCTCTGTTTTAGCAGATAGGCATTTGACGTAAACTCGGCGAGGAAATTACCTCGAGAATTATCGCTGGGTCTAAGAAGAATGAATCCTGCACCAAGGTGAGTCAGGCGGCATCTTGGACTGAGATGTCTTTTAATGAATTGAGATACCCCTCTATAAAGGTATAAAGACGAAATAAAGTTAGTTATACGTTATAAAGAAACAGGAAATGTTTCGGAACGTTTTAAAATTAGAATTCCGGAAGTTCGACCTCCTCAGACTAATGTTACTATGCATCAATCAGTTTGAAAACTCCTTTCAAGCTGTAAAATCTAGAAAAGACGATTATTTACTATACAAGAACTGCGGTTTCAGTAGCAAATCAAAGTCGAAACTTCCTGAGGTCAATAAATCTAAAAATGTTTTGTCTTGGAAGGTATTCTGGTATGTGTATGTGTTATACATGTATATGTAAAACACATACGTCTACGTCCTGCCTACGTCAAGCTATCAAGGTGTTGTAGGTATACATTTCGACATACTTTTTAAAAATCTTCCTAACTTTTAATGAGCAATTCAGTATAGTGTTACGATAAATATGACTCAAAACTGTAAACATATTTAATACTAATATCCTTATTCATTCGAGTATTTTCTAGTCAGAAGATCCACGAGTCCCTCTCGGCTAAAAAAGCAGTATGGCGTGACCTTCCAGTCTTTTCGCCAAGGGTCAGGACGGTCGACATCCTACGACGAGATTCCAGATTAACGGTGCTTTATACATAAAGACGAAATTTTATTGAAGACAGTTTTTTTTTAAATTTCGAGTCGAGTTTTTGTCGGGATACCTTTGATAATAAATAAAGACAATAAATTAGATTAATAAACATACTACAATAGCATACGCAGCTTACTGAGATGGACAAATTAGAGTTTGCACTTGATTTTTCCTATTAATTGGAGCTAGTCTGGTAACTACTATTAAGAAATCCTCAAATCAATATCAAGTATCACCAACAATGATACTTATTATTTGTTCTATTGCTAATTCCCTTATAATAACGACAGTATTATTACTTATTAGTTTATTTTACTTAAACTAGGCTGGGCCGGATAGTTGAGGAGGTAGAGTGTCTGACTTCAACGCAGAAGGTCGGGGATCAATGCAGAAGGCCAGGGATCAACGCAGAGGAGCGGGATCAACGTAGAAGGCCGGGGATCGAATCCTAACATTCGCCGGCGAGAACATCTAGATATTTTTAAATACCTACAGGCCCCAGGTCGACTCAGTTTGAATAAAATGAAAACCTTATGTAAAACCAGGGGTAATAATAAGCGGTCAAGAGTCACAAAGGGTTGTAGCGCCATTAGAAGAAGAATAAGGTATCATAATGGATAAAAACAGTGATTATTAAAGTACCAACAATTAAAAAGGGAAGGGGGATAGGTAGTATGATTTCAAAAAGTGGGCGGAGTAACACAATTTATATTACTTTTTCTGTAAACTTTAGTTTGACTTTGAAGTTCATTTAAATGTGAGGGATTAGTGAATATTAACAAACTTTTTGTTTCAAAGTAATTTCTAAAATCAGAAAGTCAAAAAAATGAACGTAGGCTACTAGTGATGGAAATAGTTGTAAACTTTATAAAAAAAAACTTTATAAACTTGGCTCCCAATGTTAGTTGGAGTTATATTGGAACACATTGGCGCCCACCGTTGCTAATAGGTAGTCATATTGTTACAGATTTTACACATATAACAATAATTTTATATTAATATTTTTGAGACATATCCCAATGGTAACCTTATTAATTTTTTTATAATTTTCTTGAAGTTTACTATTTTTTACTCGACTAAAGCGGATGATTTTGATCAGCGTATCTGTGAAAGATTTAAGCGGCTTCCAGAGCTTTGCGCACGTGGAAGATTCTCTACTTTGATTTTTTTGCAGTATTATTTGTAAAAGATTTATAAACTATTTTCCCTTGCGCAATCAAGCTCTTCTGATTTGTATAAAAATTGTTATTATAAACAAAGTTAACTTTATATTTAATTCAACGTAATACTTTTCTTCTTACTTAAAATTCCCTATAGACTAAACTATTTTAATTTTTGTACTTGAAGTCGAGAGCTAACAAGCTTATTTTATTCAGAAGCAGTTTACATTCAAATTAGAAACTTCCCTAAAAAAACGAAAGAGCCCGAGCACGGCAAATTCTTGCTCCAGATGTTTTCAGATTCTCTGGAAACAAAATTATACGATAGGTAATTGTACCGCAACTAAGGAATACCAATTGTTTTCCCCAAGGAAATCGTTTCTTTAGTTTACTTTGTGTTTATTGACCTAGTTAGGGATTCTGTGGTTTCTTTTATTTCTTTTTATTTTCAAGTTGTCAGGATAATGGCACTGGACAAATAAAGCTAATTGTTTGAGAGACAGAGAGAGAGAGAGAAAACAACTGTTTCGGATTAAATTTGTAGTGTTTACAAAAGTCTAAAAAAAAGTTAGACTAAAAATAATACACATGAAAGTATTACACTTTGTATACGAAGTTAAGAACAAACATTAATGCATATAAAACTAATTCATCGATGTCCTTAGTGCACCTTGATCATTTCCAGGATCATTTTCCATTTTAGTCTATTTTTTGCTTTGTTTTTTCAGTGAATAATCCTAATATTTTTAGTGTTTTTTCCACTTGTTCTTTTGATATTGATTTGATTGATTGATTCTAACAGAGCGTTAAAAATTGTTTGATCATATGCAACGACTTGATATCAGCGTATAATAAGCATTGTAGTAAATAAAAAAAGATCAGTTAAGAAATCCGCATAAGCAGACCATCAAGTAGTCATTGCACAAGACCAAGACGACCTCAGCTAGATGATGAAGAAACTACAAGAAGAATATATCAAGGCTGGCTAGATGTTAACCTCGCGAAAACAGAGGACCTATCTAGAAGTGAAGAAGACTTAGAAGATCCACAGATTGATGACAACGTAACAATCAAAGGAAAGGATAAATTCAAATACTTGGGGTTTATAATCACGAAAAAGGCAACAACAGAAGAAGAAAACTTGTATTCGATTCGGGAGTCAGGAAAGTTTATGAACAAAATTCGTGGTGAAAAATGAAAATTGCCTTTTGTGCATAAGAAAAATGCATTCAAAATAAAAAATTTGCAATTAAGAAACTATCGACAGAAATGAGTTTAATTTTGTTACTCGTGGGTTTTCGAGATCTCTGTATATGAATATGATAACGACGTTGGTCCTCGAGCTTTCTGGTGCACAGGGTGGACCACGTTTCCAGGAATATGTTAATTTCATTCTAAATCAGTTGACAGTCCTAACTCATGGGATTTTGAATTCACTGAATACAAATATGATAACGAAGATGGTCCTTGAGCTACCTGGTGTTAACGGTGGATCTCATCTTCTGGAGTTTTATGTTATTTTCATTAGAAATCAGTCGAATGTTTTTGAAGTCGCTGATGAAGAATTTTATGACGGTGATGATTATCGAGCTACTTGGTGACCAGGACGAACCTTGTGTTCCAAAGTTTTATGTTAGTCCTTAGAAAATCCATTTCTACTACTTCTATTCTACTTCTATATTTTTTCGTGATCTGCCAAACTTCTGCCCCATAAGTCATAATAGGCTCTACCAAGGTTCGATAGATTGTCAATTTCGTTTCTTGTTTAATATCTTTAGGCCATAGTAGAGAATGTTTAGAATGTTAACCGCTTTTTTTCTCTGCTGCGTTCTGTTTTCGATGTCTCTTTTGGTAGTGACTTCTTTAGATAGGTATTATAGATCCGAGATATTTATATTCCTTGCATGTTTTTGTGTTTCTAATTTCTAACTCTGGATTTTCTTCATCATCTCCTATTTTAATATACTCTGTCTTTGACATATTCATATTGAGGCCCCATTTTTCATATTCTTTCTTTAGTTTTCTAAACATGTAGTCCATGTCTTCCTCATCATCATCCTCATTTAAAAATACAAAATTAAAAAATTAATCTTCTTCCAAAGTAATTGCATATTTGTTTTTTACCACCCTCTTGAAAAGATTAAAATAAAAAGCTTATCAAACACTTACTCCGCAATTCTTTCACCGTTCCAACATTGTTGATCCTTTCGTTCGGCGAAGGACTCGTCCTGGCAAAGGGTGTTCGCGAGATTCGCGTAGAATCCTTTCGTTTTCGCGATAGCAGACAGAAAATGCGACAGTTCGTTTTCGGGTAAAGGCGAGAAGTTCCTGGGATTGGTGCTTCGGGGTTTGCCGCTGGCTGCTGGAGGGAACGGGGTGCTGCTCTCCCCCAGAAGAGGATTTTCCTTTTGAGAGAATTCGGCGGAACCGCAAATTTGCCTGACCTGAAAAATAAAGAAAAACATGTCAAATATTTTATGTATACTGAAATATGTATCTAGAGATTTTTGTTTCAGAATATGCGAAAATTTTAATATATTACGATCTAAAGAAAATTATTATTGTAGGTTATCTCTTTTGTTGTCGGTCGTAATTCTTAATTTAATTACGTATAATGTGAATTAACGACCAGCGTTTTATAATTGTAAATATTATTCCAGCGTGCCAATCTTAATAATATATGTACAATGTCATCATTGATCAAGCACAGGCATACAAATAACTTACTAGTTAATCTCTACAATATGGCGGTAACATATACGATTGACGCAGAGAAATGTAGTAAAATTGAAGTTAAATTAAAAAACTTTCAGTGGTATTGATAAAAAATACTTCGGAACAAGTTAACTTTATATTGAAATTGTTATCGAAAAAGTCGTGAAAAGGTCTATCTTTGTCTAACAATTTAAATTCGGGTTATAGATTAAATTAAACACACAAAATTATATAAAATCGTACTTTTAAAAATCAGTGATATTTTTAAATTAATTAAACAACATATATGTATATCAAAATTATGGTGTAATAATTTTTACCAGGTATTTTTTCAATTAAGTAACACAATTTTAACCACCAACCTTATTTAATTTTTTCTATAATTAGTGATTTTAGTACCTCAGATAGAAGGAAAAGTTGCCAGTGGCAGACGAGGACCCGTGGATAGACAAAGGAAAGTGACCATTAAGTATGAAAACGAAATGAGTCATATGCGTGATCACTTAAGTTTTCGTATCATTTAGCTGTTCCTATGAGCTTTATGCTTTATCAAGAATCTTGTCAGCAAAAAATTTCTTTTTATTTAGCGTATGGCATATATTAATATTACTATTTTACAAAAACATTCAATGGAGTATTACAATTGAACATCTAATATGATAAATAATATAATCTAAAACATTTTCGGACACATTCAGCAATTCCATCTTTTTCTTGCTGTTCTGTCAATATGTTACCCTCCTTATCTCTACATTTCTTTTGTTTGAATTCTTTTCGGCTTAATTTCAGTTTTTGGTAAAATTTTCTTCTATTTATTGGCTTATTTAGTTCTTGAAGTTCTTTGTTCATATTTTCTCCCTTCTTTCTGCGTGGATTTTCTTTTCTTCTTTACATATGTATTTATATTCCTCCTTTGCTTGTCGGGTTCTGTGCCCCTATTGCATCAATAAATTCTGTTTTTCTTCTATTATAATCTGACATTACATTCTTTTTGTTTTTTTTTGTTTACCGTCCATGCCTAGTAATTCTTCAGTTGCTTCTTTCATGATGTTTCTGCACCCTTCCCACTCTTCATTTACTTTTTCATGTTTTAGTCTGTTTTCTAGTTTGATGTTTAGATTTTGCTTATATTCTCTATTTTTGTTCTTATCTTTGAGTCCTTCTGCATTGTATCGTTCATGTTTAGAACCTATTTCTTTTTTAAATGTTTAAAATTCTGACCCTTATATCTATTTTCGACCCAGTAGTGATCAGAATCAGCATTTGCTCCTATTCGTTTATTATATTCGATTGATGTTTTGAGTCCCAATAGCATAATCTATTATATTTACTGTAAGTCCATCTGGTGATTTCCTTTCGAGTGAATATCAAAAATATTTAAAATTGGTTATTTCTCAAGCACCAAATTTTTTCATTTTGTTGTGCTGCGTTATCATTACTGTTCCATACCATGCAAGTTAAACGTTTACTTTCTATTTCAGTTTCTATAGGAATTTGTAACTGTGAGTGATCTAGGCGACTATGGTTTAACCCCTGGCAAGAAAACAAAAGGGCTAACGTAAAGGTCTAAAATTGTTAATATGCTACTCTCTTATCTGAGATAAGAGCTTGCGGCTCGGTGTTGCTCTTCCATAGATCCCTACCGGAAGTGGGAGTATTTGCATAATAGTTTACCTTTGACCGTAAATACATAGTCATGTTTCACAATAAGCTCATCATTTGATTAATAATTGAGCATTATTTTTGTTCACGCAAATAATGACTAGTCGTTGGAGACCAGATTTGAAAAATACCTCGAGAAAGAAAACAATTTGAAATTAAAGTCACGTAAGTACATCATCGATGAGATCGACTTGTGACATTAGTGTATTGTCTTGATAACAATCACTTGAAAAGAAAAAAGAAGTCTGAAATCTCACTACCTAATGATGTGCTCAACAGCTGGAACAACTTCTTTTTCTTATAGTGCCTATCCGTTTCGGATATTGGATACCATCATGGCAATGTGTATTTTGCAAACTGCGGCTGTGAACAGATTTGTGGTTGTTGTGTTAAACCACGTACGTAGATGTTTTGCTCAAAAAATCCTTCGCCAACACCTAAAGGTCGATTCAGACACATCAGTCCCGTCACAGTCTCGGCGCCGAACCGGTCCTGTTTGATCACAGAACTATTAATTATCTGACAGCTGGGAAACTGTTCGTCGCCTGATGAATGTGAATGCCGGCGCCATATTTCTATTAAAGAATACCAATGGTCGGACTTTGACCTACAAGGCGACCAAACGTGCAGCCAGTAACATGCTGCTTCTACGTTGGTTACAGCTCCGGCTAGGTTCTCTAGATTCATTCTTCTGACTGCATATTGGCTGTATGTCGTGTGTGTTGTCCCATAAGAGTACATACTAACTTTTGTCGCAACGACCAGCTGACCGTATCGACGAAATGCGCCAATGCGAAAAGAAAAGTATTTTTGAAGTGTGTCACACTTACAAACTACTTTTCTTTTCCATTTTTTGATTTGTCATAAGTGTGTACATAAACATATCAGTCTTTTCAAAATATAAAATTGGCAGGATCCAACTATCCGCAACACTGGTTGTGGCCGTAGTCGCAATAGTGCGCGTTAGCTCTAAATGCACCAAGGGCACTTAAATAACTGAAGAGCACCAAAATGAAACCAAACAAAGAAAACAAAGAAAACCAAACTACCGAAATAAGCAGACGAGTAAGAATGGGATGGGCCGCATTTGGAAAACTCTCATACATACTGAAAGACAAAAGATACCCCAAAACCTTCGAACCAAAGTGTTCGATTCTTGTATCCTTCCCGTTCTCACTTACGGAGCTCAAACCTGGACATTCACAAAAAAGAACATGGACAAGATTCGAAAAACTCAGCGAGCCATGGAACGACAGATGCTTGGTATCTAACTAATAGATCGGCAAACGAATGAAGCAATCCGGAACAAAACAAAAATAAAGGACGCCGCGAAACAAGCAGCTAAATTAAAATGGAAATGGGCTGGACACAACGAACGTCTCGAAGATGGTAGATGGAACAAAGAAGTCGGAAACTGGCGACCGTACGATGGAAGAGTCCAAGAGGAAGACCTCAAATGCGCTGGAGCGACGATATCAAAAGAGTCACAGGACCAATGTGGAAACGCCTAGCACACAACAAGGATGAATGGCGAGAAATGGGAGAGGCCTTTATTCGACAATTCGGATAGAAAAAGGGCTAAAAAAAAACCAAAATGAAACACCTCAACAAACCGCTCTGCCTAGCATCGTTCTTCCACACTCAATAAGTAAATATGCCGTAATTAACAGAATACGCTAAAATAAACTAGTGTCCTTAACTTCCTAGGTTAAACAAAGTATCCGCACATTACCGAGTGACGTTCATTGATACCTAAAAGGCCTCAAATCTAAGAGATTTCAAAGTACGTGGAGTTAAAAACCCTCCTTAAAAATTACTACCAAAAAAGCAATGACCCAAATGTTTAAATCATCGGCAACGTTTTTTCTCACTGATTTCAAATTAAATAATTAAAAAACTTCTTGGTTGCTACATATTTTATGTTTTTAAAGACCTAAAATTTGTGTTGTAACGTTCCGAAATTCTATCGATACATAAGTTAAAATCGAATAATTGGAGATTGTGAAAAAATAATTAAGTATTCACTTATTCTCTAATCCAAGCATATGTCAACACCTTTTGTATTAATTTACAACACATTACAATCATCTACTGTAAAGTTTATCACGTGAGAAAAAGTAATAATATTTATATTACTATTACTTTAAAAGTTAAAAGATTCATATGCATATATACATTCTTTATTCAGAAATCGCGGACGACTACAATGTTACGTTAAGTGTTAGTGGGCGTTCTTTCCTTTATAAGGTAACCAACTTACTAGTCAACATTTTGTACTACACACCTAGACCGGTGTTTTTTCGTTCTTAGTTTCATTTGTATTCACATTTACACATTTAAACCTTTTTAATTGAGGCGAGTTTATTACACATCTTCAATCAACGGATTTCGAATGATGGGTTACTATAAATTGATTCCACCAAAAAATGGCTTTAAAAAATGTGTAAGGGTATTTCCCTAATTGTATAGATTTATGCAATCTATTTGGGTATGCAGCACAAGACAGGATAAAGAAGTACTCTTTTTAGTTTACATCAGGTTGACTAATTGAGGTTAGTTGTCATGGTGTTTAGAAAATGGAATAAACAGCTCACCTAGCTCCTAAAACTAATGGCGAATATTATCCAAAAAATTGTTTTTTTTTATCAAAAAATGATACCAAAATATACAGTCAGAATATAAATATCCCAAAAAGGATTTGTAAATTACAACTAAATGTTCACAAATCAAAAATTAAGTTTGACCATTAAATTGCGGTTCCTAGAATTCTATGTTTGGTCGCAGTTGCTATATTGGGTTGAAACTTGTGAAATTGAAATCGCAATTCATAAAAAAATTTTAAAAAATCGAAATGAGGCCCTATAGACGTATTCTTAAAATTACTTAGATTTGGTTGGATAAGTAATATCAAAGATTGGACTGACCACAGTGTAGAACAGATATTTCTTGTTACAAAAGATCTCGAAGCGTTTAAAGAAGCGATTTTCGTAGGTAAACGATACGACAAGAAGAAGACAAAATTTCTATAAACCTCATTTTATAGCAATTAAAAAATGAAAGCTTAAAG